GTTCTTCTGTAGGATTGTGAGAGAGGGTAGAATTCTTCAGGTTAAAATGGTCTGTGCTCAGTATAAGCTATTGATGAGATCTGATTTTTTTTTCTAGGTGTTGCTGAAGGTGTTATATCAATACAAGGAAAAGCAGTACATGGCTCCTAGAGTTCTGCAGCAAACACTGAATTACATCAATCAAGGAGTGTCACATGCAGTCACCTGGAAGAATCTGAAACCTCATATTCAAGTAAACCATTTTTGGGGTTTAATACTTAGATGACTCAGTAGTACATTAGTCAGTCTGTTGCACAGTGTTTCTAGCCTTGCTAGAATTCAAGTTTTAGGGACCTCTGTTATAAATTGCTGGTGGAAGGAGTTTAAGCATGTTTGGTGAAGGTTACCTTGATATGTGAGCAAAGCTAGGTAATTGCTTTCTTTGCTGTCAGTCCTTCATGCTTTAATATGTTAAGGATGACAGTGTAATAGAGCAACACAACAAATTTTGAGATGGTGTTAACTACTGAATTTATGGCATTGAATCATCTCCATGTACCATTATCCAAAGCAAATAGCTTGCACTGTATTGTAGCTCTACCTTAAGTTAAAAGATCTCTTTTTTTGTAAGGTAGCACATAAAATCCACCATGTCCAAGTAGTTTTAGAATGTTATCATTTTGTATAAGAAGTGACAGGATGGGCAAAATCTGTGAAATACAGAATAGAATATAGAGATTGATTTACTAGTGCTAGCCTGTTTTCAACTTTTTTTTTTTATTGCAGGGAATTATCCAAGATGTTATTTTTCCATTGATGTGCTATACAGATGCTGATGAAGAGCTTTGGCAAGAAGATCCATATGAATATATTCGTATGAAATTTGGTGAGAATTTGAAATCTACTCATGTTAAAATATCAACTCACACAAAGATGAGATTTTTCTGTTTTTTTTTTTTTTGAAAATAGAGATGACTTTAATCTTTAAAGGGAAAAAAAAAAAAGATAAAACCAGTTTGTATTATCCAAATAATACAACTTAATATAGTTAACTTTTGGATATACTGGTGGAAATGGCAGATAATGTATGACAGTCAACAATGACACAGGTGTTTCTGCACTTGAGAAAGCAGCTAATTTTGAGAGTTACAAAGTTTTTTTGTTAGATAAATCAAACAGTCCTAGTCTTCCTAGCAATAATTGCATATGTTTAGTGTTATTAAAAGTTCATGCTTTACAACAGCCAGTATTTCAGGCCCTGGACTTTGTACGATATTAAGGAATTTCACACATGGCGTAGTTCAGAACAGATTTACTGTAATGGTAAACGAAACATTACGAAGTAAGGGTGGCATTCCAGACTTGTTTAATTGCACCTCCTGTGGCTTGCTGCTTTGTTGTTGGGGTTTACTATCAGTCTGTGCAGTCCTTTCAGGCTGGGGAGGAAAGAAGATACTTCAGACTTCCTGAACAAATTCTTCCTTCCACTAGAACTTTTATGTGGCTAGAACAAGGAGTCTGGATGAGTTAGGGAATTTCTTATCCCTCAGGTCAGAGGCAGATCTGTAAACAGTACAAGTATTGTACAAGGCTCTGACAATCTTATGCAGAGAAATAAGAAATTAAGCATTTTTAACTCAATCGTGTGTGCTTGCCTGTACAGCATATAACATATATGTCAAAAATTGGCTGCTGTGTCTGCTTCTACTGTTACAAAAGATTAATCTTAAAAATAAGGAAGACCTACAATTTCAAATTAGACATGTAGAGCTGGTGATCATGAAAAAGGAGAAACATATGTATCAGGAATCTCTTAACCATTTGTTACTGTTGTTTGGTCTTGGAATATCTGTAGTAAGAAAGCATTATTAACCACCTGAAGAGAAAGGAAAATTGTTGCTCTCTTGTTTTGTATTAAATAATTAGATTACATTAGGATCATGAATGTAGCAAAGGAACAAAATTTATAGCTGTTGTGTTTACTTAATAGATGTATTTGAAGATTTCATTTCTCCAACAACTGCTGCTCAGACGTTATTGTTTACATCATGTAGTAAAAGGAAAGAGGTAAGCTATTCAAGGATTTTACTTAAATATGTTATAGTCCCCATTTGCGGAAAGAATTACTAATAAAAGTTTTACTTTCCTGTTCTCTATATCCTATCATAGTACGCTAAAATTTATTATTCCTCTCAAATTTATTTTGCACTGGTCTATTTGTGATTTTTCTATTTCCCAGTTTCCTTAGGACCCATCTATCAAGAATGTTGTGTGTTCATAACAGACATAAAACATTGTCCAAATTCCAGAGTTAGAGCAGTTAATTAGAGATTTAAGCATTTCAGAGCACTGAGAATAGTACCTAAGACAATTGATTGACATACTTTGACTAACCTTACATGTGATCTAGGTCTTGCAGAAGACAATGGGCTTTTGTTATCAGATCCTTACGGAGCCAAATGCTGACCCTCGTAAGAAAGATGGTGCTTTACATATGATTGGTTCTTTGGCTGAAATTCTCCTAAAAGTAAGCATGACAAATCTGGTGGTTCTTTCGGTTCTTTTATTTTTTCCCTCCTTTCCTTTCTTTCATATACAGCATCTTAGAAGAAATGAGAATAGCTCTTTGAATTTACGAGATTTGGAATCACTGCTAGTTTTTTTTAAAAGCTGTTGAACTTAATTGTTTTGGGGTTGTTTTTCTGTTCAGTTACACAAGTTTTATTAGGTCATGTTCAAGTTCAGATGATTAAGTTCCTCTAAGTTCTGTGCTTCTAGTAAGAATTGCTGCACCATTTCCTGCGCTACACTTCACTACATTCATTTTTTTCATGGAAGGAAGGAAAAAAAAATACTTCCAGTGAGAGGCTGTTGATTTAATGAGGTCTTTTTCTGTGTATAGAAGAGAGGAAATAAAGTGAAATTAGCAACCTTGCTCAATTAGAATGGTAGCAAAAAAGATGCAGGGCACGGACTTGTATTTGGACCATGGCTCTGAGAAGTTTTCCTGACCACTTTTGCTTTTGACACCAGACTAATGTATGGCCAACCAAAAGGTGTCTCTAGGAGTCAAAAAATGACAAAAAAAATGTGTCATTATTTTAACTGAAAATTATAAAAGTCCGTGTAGGATCCAAGTTTAATTACTAATATGGGATTTCGTTGTTGCTTAACAGACTTTTATGAAGGGGGAAGTTAAAAGTCTGAGGGTTTTGTTAGGCTGTTCACACTTCTATATGTGACATTTTTACTGGGTTAAAAATACATAAAGTTTTAAACTGCTGTGTTTCTGTTCATCTTCTATTCTGACAGAAAAAGATATATAAAGATCAGATGGAGTATATGTTGCAGAATCATGTGTTCCCACTCTTCAGCAGTGAGCTGGGTTACATGAGAGCACGGGTAAGAAAGTGTAAGATTTACTGTTAAGATACGCTGTCTGTTCCAACTGAAAACTTCAGAAATATTATTTATTTCATTTTTCCCCTCTAACAAATGTACTCCTCTTTGCACCTGTTCTGTAATAAATTCTACGCTTATTTCAGAGATTAGTATGAATCTTTGTGTGACTGTAGATAGCTACTGTGTAGTTTTAAAATGGCTGCAGAATTGTGTGCATAGTTTTCCATCTGTGTCTGGTGGTATGGTCTATTTGTGTTTTGCATTTAGACTGTACTGCTCACACAAAACCTGTGGCCAAAGATGAACTTGAGATCATAGTACTGGTCTAGTGACGTCTGAAAGACAAGCCTCCCACTGGCCAGCCTCCACACTCTCAAACATCTTCATCTGATAAAAAGTTTTACAGTATCTTTATTCAACAGTAGTTGTACATCACATTTAATAATTGTTGTAAGTTACGGGTATATGAGTAGTCGATAATCCTGTTTGTAGGTTTTGTAACTCTGAATTTGTTCGATGTCTTTTTTTCAGGCTTGTTGGGTTCTGCATTATTTTTGTGAAGTCAAATTTAAGAGTGACCAGAATCTCCAGACAGCCTTAGAACTCACAAGACGGTGTCTGATAGATGATAGGGAAATGCCTGTAAAAGTGGAAGCTGCAATAGCACTTCAAGTTCTGATCAGTAATCAGGAGAAAGGTAGCCTTCTTTTCTTAAAGCTACAGCAAGCTTTAATGGAATAGGCATCCATATTGCAATGCTCAGGGAGACTTGTTCTCTTCTTTCCTGATGTTCGTTTACTTCTTGCAATTGTAATTTGTAATCACTTACTGTAATTTTCCAGCTGGAAAAATTTATATTTTTTATAAATAACATCACAGTTTCATGGTACGATAAATCCAGTTGTACAGCACCTCATCATCCAATCAGAAATATGGTGGCAGTATAAGTATATCTTTTTCCATGTTCAAATTTATTTTTTTTTAAAAAAAGTTGTTTTTATCCTGACAGCCTTTACATTGCTTAGTATTCCTGAAGTTGACATAAAAGCCACAAAGGAAGCAAATTCTATATCAAATACTTTGGCTAATTTGACAAAAATGTGTATGTACCCATTCCTGTTCAATTAAAATTTGCATTGATAAGTAATCTTGCATTCCGTAAAGACTGTAGTACTCTGTTTTTCATACTTCAGTTGCGATCCTCTTAGTATACATGTCTATAAAATTGTTCTGAATGTTAGTATTGTTATAATGATTTATACTGCCCATGGTTTTTGGCACATTAATGCCAAAGCATTAAATATTTTAAAAGTATATATTGAATTTCTTATACTGATACTATAGTTTTGTAAGAACATAAATTCAAATATTTCCACTTGTTTTACAGCTAAAGAATATATTACTCCATTTATTAGACCTGTAATGCAAGCTTTACTTCATATTATAAGAGAGACTGAAAATGATGATCTTACTAATGTGATTCAGAAGATGATCTGTGAATATAGTGAAGAAGTTACCCCAATTGCAGTAGAAATGACACAGCATTTGGTAAGACTTTCTGGTGACTTAAGAAGATGTTTAATATGTGAAAGCTTAGTATTAATAAAATTAAGATAGTTGTCTGACAGTCAGTAGCTGTTACTCCAGTCTGCTTAAGTGCATTGATACAGGTAATTTTCTTCTACATGTAGACTGTTTTTTCTCAAAAGTGGCTTCATAACTCAAACTAAATGGAAATTTCTAAGAATGATTGTAGAGATGTTTGGAAAATCTTGATACTTATTTTCTCCTGATAGTGTTAATAATTAATTTTCTATTTTAAAATAGGAAATTAAACAGCAGATTTTTAATAAAAAATTTGGTGTGAAAATAATGTTACGTCGTATGGAATGTGAAAATAAAATTGAATCTGCAGGAGAAATTCAGAGCTTGAATGGCTGTATCTAGCAAGTTGTACTAATGGTTTCAAAAGCAGAGGTCAGCTCAGTGCTTCCCTATTAAAGGCTCTTGCCTTGGAGTTGAAACTAAATTGTTTGCCCATCCTCTGTGGGAATGCCTGCAAAGTGCAGGCCGTGGCCCAGTTTAGTTCAGATACCAATTAAACCTTGTGTCAGAAAAACTTACTCATAGAAAATGTGTTCTATTGCAAGGAAAGTAATGTAATTTGTGTCTTTTTACTCATGAATGGATAAAGAATGACAGCTGAAATGGCTTAACATTCAAATTTTATCAATCTTGAAAACAAACTCTGGAATGGAGCAGTCATCTTCGAATATTGACACATGTTTTCTTAGCAGAAGTCATCCTTAAATTATGTAGAATACCAAGCTTGCGCAATGGCTCTTCATCTGCAAGCATGTCCTCCTCAAACGACATATTTATGGGTTGTTTTGCTGTTCCATGCAGGCAATGACATTTAACCAGGTGATCCAGACTGGACCAGATGAAGAGGGCAGTGATGACAAAGCAGTGACAGCAATGGGAATCTTGAATACTATTGATACACTTCTCAGTGTAGTTGAAGATCACAAGGAAGTAAGTAAAAATTCCTTTAAAGCTAATGTGTATTGTCTTAAGACACTGAAAGTCTTTTCATAGTTCCAGTGTTCCTGACATTATCTGAAAAACTGTCCTTTCAGGAAAAAATATCTTAAAACAGAAAACAGTGAAGTACCTACCATGCAACAAAGCTGTAACAGTGGGTCACGCTTCTGACACAATGTGTGTAGTAATAGAGCGTAAGTGTTGCCACGGTATTTCCCGTAAGAATCCAGGTTCTTGTTCAAATAGGTGGAAGCAACTTGTCTCTAACTGATGGAACTCTGTCAGCACGGCTGGAAAAACTCATCTGATTTGATGAGGTCTGCCCTTCAGAGAAAACAGATAAAATTTCAGTTAGCTTTGAACATTGACTCTGCTCACTTAGTTTGCTTTCTGCAACAGAATCAATGTCTGTAAATACAGCTGCTGTGGCTATGCTAAATAATAGTTTTGTTTACCCACCTAATCTGCACTGTAGAATTCTCCAGTATCGTGAAAACTTGTTATTTAGCTTTGATGTATGGAATGGACTAATTTCTGTCCAGAGTACAGCTTGTTCAAAAGATGCTATTGCTGATTAAAATCCTTCTTGACAAAGTCAGCTACTGGTTTTCGATAAATACATTATAGTTTTTTAGTGACTAAACAATTCAATAATAAATTGTACTCTCAGGGCTCTGAAGACTTCACTAAGGAAGCAACATAATACAGATTCTGAATGCCCAAGGTCACAAGCCTTGCAATAAACCAAGGACCAGTTTGGTTCATTTACTTGTTGCTTAAGCTGCTCAGCAAGCTTTTCATGTACTTGTTTTTGTCGGCAAATTCTTGGTATCTAAATTAAAAGTTTGTGTAACAATATGCTAGCCCTGAGGAACTCAATTGTAAAATGTTGATCAGTAAACATTTATATTTAGAGACATCTCAAAGAGGATGACCAGTGTTCCAAGAGATAAGGTATTTAGCTGGTTAGTTTCAAATCCTGTTCTGCATAGCTAAGACCAGAAACTCAACCCTTATTTGTCCCTGTGCAAGGTAAGTGCCCTAAACAGGTTAATGACTGTTTTCTTACCTGTTCCAGGGACTACTAAATACTAATTGGGAAGAGTGTCTCAATCCGTAGAACAACATTTAGTCTGATTGTCCACATACCATATAAACATCCTAAGCTAGGTTTGGGAGGTGGTTTAGTATTTGTTTGGTTTTGTTTTTTGAAATTTCACTTTTCCGGAACAGCAAATAATTACTGCAACTTCCATTGCTTACCCCTTTGATATATACATACTTACTGTGTTTTGATGGGACTGAACTGTTGCATGGGGTTACTGTCAGGCTTTTCTTTTTAAAGGATACTCTATAGTGAGATCCTTCCAGTATTCAAAGAATATTCCAAAATGACCTCGTATTAAAAGCTGTCTTAAAAATCCTTAGCTAAGAGTGCAGCTCATAGACATTTAGTGATCTAAAATGTGAGAAAATTTGAATTGTTTTTAGAAAAACTATATTGTCTAAATAGAAACTGCTTTGAGTAATTTTATTTGAAATATGTTTAACTTCAATGCCAAAATATTGAAAACAGTCATAAATTTCCTTTTTTTTTTTTTCCCCAAGATTACCCAGCAGCTGGAAGGGATCTGTTTACAAGTTATTGGAACAGTTTTGCAGCAGCATGTATTAGGTATCTGTACTTTTGTTGGCTTATTTTTTAAGTGCATGAAATTGGCATTAAATTTACCTAGATTCTGTTTGTTTTAGAGTTCTATGAGGAGATCTTTTCCTTGGCTCATAGTCTGACCTGTCAACAAGTTTCTGCACAAATGTGGCAGCTTCTTCCTCTTGTTTTTGAAGTCTTTCAACAGGATGGCTTTGACTATTTTACTGGTAAGTTATACAAATAAATCAGAAAGCCTTGTGGTTTCATACATGTGACTTCAACCATACAGTGAATTGCATTTTGATTGAAATGTTAGGAGAACACTGACTGAAGTGAGGTTATGCTTGAAGTGTTTTATTCTGATGTTGCTGTGACCAGACTTGTTTTGCTAAGACATCTATGACTAGATGCACACTTATCTTGACAAACATTAAGCGAGAGCTACAATTAATTTATTAATACATAGATCTCAACCTGATTTTAACAGCTCATCTAATAAAACATGCAAACAATATCTAACTTATCATTTTTCTTTTAATACAGACATGATGCCTCTCTTGCATAATTATGTTACTGTTGATACAGATACACTTCTGTCAGACACAAAATATCTTGAAATGATCTACAGTATGTGCAAGAAGGTAAGGAGATCCCTTTGTGATAACAAAACCTGTGGTCTCTGAAGTAATGCACTGTTAAACTGGGTACTTTTTTCTACAACAGCAGACTGTAAAACTGAAGAATTTTGACATCTGCTCTTAAAGCATTATGCTATTTAACATCCTCTGTGATTCCAAATGAAAAAGTTATTGCAGAGAAATTTAAAGAGGTTGCATCAAATTTCAGATATATATTTCTGCTAAAAGGGAAAAATAAATTGTACACAACAAAAGCAGATTAAACAAGCCAGGGTTTTGTGCATGCATGTTTTGTGTAATATACTTTGTGCATACAGGCATGCAAAACGCGTATGCATATTGCAAAAGGTAGATAGTTTCTTTTATCTGAGATTTGTAGCCTCACTGTGGCTAGGATACCACATACCATATGTTTGCTAAAGATCTTAAACAAGTAGAGTTGGGATGGAAATAGAGGGATAGGAATATGAAGTTATTTTCCCAAATTCATGCCAAGTCAGTGATGAAAGCTGGGAGCAGAATGCAGTTGCTCTGACTCAGTCCAGTCACTTTTGGGGCAGTGTTTCTATATTTAACTTATCTTCTCAGCTCCTCTGCATTATAGGTAGCTGTCAACTGGGTTTTCTTTATCCAGTCAATATGTAGGATACAAAGCTTTCCACAACGTTAGCCCTAAGTAAGGACATTAATACTTCTTTATAAATGGTGTTAATATTTTATAATCTGTAACAGTAATCTGTGGGGATTGCAGTTTTCCATTTCTGGATATCATATGTTGTGTCTATACAAGAACCATGGTGAACTGTCAGCTGCCCTGACCATGGTATTTCCTGAGTAATTCTTTTGAAGATGTTCAAATATGATAGGGAATAACTCTTGCCAGCCTTTATTTGAAAACAAGTTGCAACCAGGCTGATTGTAAATACTTGAACATTTTATATATATATATGTAAGAAAGAAAACGAGCTTGCTATAACCTCTTAGTGATTAGTGTTTTATTAACTGAGCACAATGAATCTTTAAAACAGAAGTTTTAGGCATTGTATGGTCTCCCACTGGATATCTCAAATTTGTAAATATAATTTTTACGAAATCCAGTGCATGAATGCATAAGACAAATTTTTGGTTTGTGTATGGAAATAAACCTTTGCAAAATGTCACCTGATGCTTATGCAGTTACTGTTGTAAGCTCTGCGTGCATAGAGTTACTGAATATTTGTACATGTACGTTAGTTTTACCCACTTTCAGCAATGTTTCAGTCTCTAGTTGTGATACTGAGCCATTGCTGCAGACTTGGCTGTTTCAATGATGGATGTTTACACTAGTGTTATAATAGCGTGGGTAAATTTATATCAGCTTTTCAAAGCAAAGCGGTATGTAGAAAATACTTCTTGAAGGGATAGCATCAAGAGGATTTGTTATTTTTCAGGTCCTTACAGGAGTTGCTGGAGAAGATGCAGAATGTCATGCAGCAAAGTTGTTAGAAGTAATTATTCTTCAGTGTAAAGGGCGTGGCATCGATCAGGTTAGTAACAACTTTGGTTGCTATAACTAATATTTTAAAAATATTTTTATTCTTAAATATGAATTGGTTATGTATTAACATGAGTTCTGTTCTGAGAAGTTCATGTAGTGTGACTAATAATCCTGTCTTCTACTTCAATGTCACAAGTGCTACTGCTCAGTTAACAGCACTGCAGAGATAGTTACTGCACGCTTTGTCTCCAGAATTTAGGACAGTGCAAAATGCAATGTAAAGTATTTTTGTGAATCTGGAAGAGCACTGTTCTAGGAGCATCTTGGTTCTAAAAGTCAATTAATTATATTCTAAGTTAATTCTAGTGAGTATTTCATGAACATTATTCAATCTGTCAAGCTAATAGCCTTGAAATAAGTAAGAATGAAAATGAAGTTCCGAGAATCCAAATTAATGTCATAGAGGAACCAAGGAGTTCATTATGTATATATGTAAGTTGGAATTTGAGATGAATTTGTGTGCTTCTGTGGAGTACATAACAAGCACTGTATAACAGCTGTTCAAACATTTTTTGCATGCTTTTTAATACTTGTGGATATGGTCCCTGGAAACTTCTAACATTTATTTTATTTGAAAGAAAATCTTCTATAGGGATTTTTTTTTTTTCAGTGTGGCATCTCTGAAGAGACTAGTCCTTTGAATATCTCTTGACTTTGTGGATGTTAAAAAGGACTAAGTTGATTTTTCTGTACTTTCTAGTGTACGCATTTTCTCTATTTTTCATTTTCAAAACACAAGATCATAGAACCAGGAATTGCATCTACTGTGCACGATGTCACAAAATCCATGTGCTCAGAGTAGATTAAATCTTTTCACCTTTTCATTTCATCTTTATATATGACTTCTGCTGGCAATTAAAAATTACTTCCATTTTATGTCCTCTGCATTTATGTGCCAGACTGGTTTTATGCCATTTCTCAACTTTTCTGTGAAATACGGAACTACAAAATCTATTTTTTATCACTAAATTTGTAACGGTTCTCACTCTTCAGTGCATACCCTTATTTGTGGAAGCTGCGTTAGAGAGACTGACCAGAGAAGTGAAAACAAGTGAACTGCGAACAATGTGCCTCCAGGTTGCCATAGCTGCTTTGTATTACAATCCTCACTTACTATTAAATACATTGGAAAATCTTCGTTTTCCCAATAATGTGGAGCCTGTCACTAATCACTTCATAACACAGTGGCTTAATGACGTGGACTGTTTCTTGGGGTAAGTGTTTCTAATTTTGAAGATTATTCTCTGTGATACACCTCTGTATTACCTGCTTATAAATCATATCAAAATTTGTAACTTATTTTACTCTTGTTTTGTAGACTTCACGATAGAAAGATGTGTGTGCTTGGTTTGTGTGCTCTTATTGATCTGGAGCAAATACCACAGGTTTTAAATCAAGTTGCAGGCCAGATCCTGCCGGCTTTTATCCTTTTATTTAATGGATTGAAAAGAGCCTATGCCTGTCATGCAGAGCATGAAAATGACAGCGATGATGATGATGAAGCTGAAGAAGATGAGGAAACAGGTATGGAAACTGAAACATCACTGTTACTTTGTGGTTTTCTTTTTTTCTGATGGAGATGCTGAGTTCCTTTGTGGAAGTCTTCAGAGTTCCCTAGTTCCAAAAATGAAAAACTGTGGTAGAACATTGGACATCTTTTAATGACTTTCAAGTACATCAGACTTAATTTTCCAGTCCCTCTTAAAAACTAACTTCCTAGGCGGAGTCTCTTCAAAGTCACATCAGGTTAGCTTTTGTGTGTGGATGCTGTCATTACTGAAAGGAATTATTACTGGGGCATGTTTCCCGTTTGAGTGAGGGGTAAGAGTCAGTAGCAGTAATTTCCAGGAGTCCTTCTAATACATTGTACAGTTTGGACTATATATTACAAACTGTCCCATTAGTGGCTGGTGTTTTAGCTGTGTATTGAAAATGACAGTTCTTTTGGGGTTTTGTTTTTTGGTTGTGTGATTTTTATTTTTTTTTTCTGGACTAATGTATAAAGGCTGATCCAGTTGAGATTAGACTTTCTTCTTCATACAGTCATTTCACAAACTTTCACATCTTTTGCCATCATCTTTATGTGAAGTTCAAAATTACCTACAACTTCCCTATACTTCTTTATTCCACCTTTCCCTATACTCTGCTTAAGCTTTTAGTTTTGTTCTCTATTTTTATCTTTCCATCATCAACCTGGTGTCTTTGTTAAGTGATTGTTTGGAACAGTTTTCCACACTCAAAGAAATATCTGTTGGGTTTCATCTATCTACTTAGAGCCCAGTTTCTTTCTGCTCTCTGCTTTTGAATTCTGGACTCTCCAGACTATTGTCATTATACATAATTCATAGTATTATATTTCATATTTCTCGAACATTCTTTTCAATAGCCCTTTTGAATGTGCCTTTCAAAGTGTTTTCATCAAATGATTTCAAACTTTGTTTGGAGCACGAATATTGCTTTGCTGAAAGTTTTATGAAGTGCTGTTCCAAACTATCTGTGTATACATTTTTCTGTGTACATTTTTGTGACAATAAAATTTCCATTTCCCACTTACACAGTTGTTGTAAGTGAGGACAGAGTTGGGGGTGGGGGGAGGGAAAGACCATGGCACTAGGAGAGGAGTTAAATGAGCTTCTTCCTTTCTAGTCTGCACTGTACTGTTACCAGTTCCATTGCCTGTTTTGCACAATCAGCCATGTTCCTAAAGAGTTGTTCTTGCTGTTCTTGAAATAAACCTTTTTTGTGTGTGATATTTAACTCAGAGGAATTGGGGAGCGATGAAGATGACATTGATGAAGATGGTCAAGAATATCTAGAAATTCTAGCAAAACAGGCAGGTGAAGACGGAGATGATGAAGACTGGGAGGAAGATGATGCTGAAGAGACTGCTTTGGAAGGCTATTCCACAATTATTGATGATGAAGACAACCCTATTGATGAATATCAGATATTTAAAACAATTTTTCAGAGTAAGTAACTTTATTTCCTTTCCTGGCCAACGATTATATTTTAACTTAAAGTATACCATTTGCAAACTAGAACCTGTTAAAAGCTTCCAAACAGGCTTTCCAGTATGTGCTTTGAACAAATTCTTTCTTTGGAAAGGGGAAGCCATCATTAAACTTTCAGAGCAGGGGGAGATGCTTGAATTAATTTATGGTGAGAGGGAAGAGGTCAGAGGTTGTGTTAGTGTTTTTAAATGTCTTGAATTATGTAACCCTAACAGAATATTATTCTGATTACAATGGCAGTGAGTTAGTAAGCTTTGAGTTACAGAACATTTTAATGAACACTTTCCTTTTGCTTACGTTTTCTTTCTGTTGCAGCAATTCAGAATCGTAACCCTGTGTGGTACCAAGCTTTGACACAGGGTCTTAATGAAGAACAAAGAAAACAATTGCAGGACATAGCAACTCTGGCAGATCAGAGGCGGGCAGCACATGGTATTTTTCCCCCTTTATACCATTAATTGCTTCTTCTGCTGTTTGAATGCTGTTTATGTGCTCAAGAAGCATAATACAGAAAATTGTCTACAATTAAAGCCTATAATTCAAGCCTGATAATGTCTTCATCAAAGCAGGGTTGTTTTACACTCCAGAGATGTTTGAAATCTCTTAAGATTGTCAGGTCACAAAACCTCGATGTACAAATTATGGCATACCCCAGGTGTAAGGAATGATAGAAACATTTCAATGAAGTGGCCAAGTAATTAAAAGTATATTTGTCATAATAGCTTGGGTATGAAAACAATTGATGTGATTATCTGAAGGTGGATGGACTCCTTAAGTGGCTGATGAATTACTTCCTGATGTTACCTAGTCCAGCTGGGATAGACTGATTCTATGGGTGGGAAAATACCAAATTATGGAAGTTGTATCCATCTGTAAAGCTACATCATTAAGCCTATTAAATATTTAAGATTGTTATTCTTCAATACAGATAATACAGATTTAAAAATATAGGAAGTGGGCAGGTCTTCAGTTTGGGTGGGGTTTTTTTTTTTCAAGTTTTCCCAGGTGTTTGAGAGAAAGCCAATATAGATCACTCTCTAAAGTCAAGGCGTAATTTTGAATGATCAGTCCAGTCTCATATTCTGCATCTTATTGAGCAATTGATACAAGATGTTTCAAAATAGAAGTTCAGAAATCTTTCAATAAAAAGATTGGTAATAAAAATGCATATTTTATAGGTAGTTTTGGTCAGAAAACAGCCTAAATTACCTCACAAAGCTTATAAGTGTCCAGAATGATCTACTTTTAATGGTTATAAAATACAGTTTCACCATGACCCCTGTCAAGCACTAGATATCATACTGATGAGATTATATTCTACTTGAGCATTTTATGAAAAAGAATGGGTTGTTTGGTTTTTGGGGGTTGTTTTTTTCATCTGCTTATTCATAGAGCAAATTAGATTCAGGTTGTGAAGTTTTACTTAGGCAACTAGATCCTTTCAGGAAATTCTTGCATACTATCAGAGCGTACTGACACTCCATTTAGGCTACCTACCATACATGGGGATATCCTGTTAAAAGGATTTGAAATATAATTGTGTCATTAACGTAGCTAAGCAGAATTTTCATAAGCGAAGAGCCTTCTGTGCACTATGGAGCCAGGAGGGAACAAAGTGATGCTCCCCAGGTCACGTTCCCCCCGCCATCCTTCATCAGCCATGGCAACATTTTTCTGGCCTGTTTCCAAAGAAACGGAGACAAAACGTAGATCGTCTAGATAACACGATTCCAGATTCCCAGAAAGAGAGATATTGCAACTATTGAGGTAGGAGAAAGCTCTTAGACTGGAAATAAGACATCCTTAAGTGTTATCGTGAGCTGGGAATAACATAAACCTCCCGCATTATCTAGACTGTAGTAAAGGTAGATAGAAATACACGTTTCTAAAGAAACGTGTAGATAGAAATGTAGATATAGAAATACACATTTCTACCTGCTCTTTACCAGCCTAATTTTCAGTTGTGCATGTATTAGAGCTTGTAAAAAACAGTCTTATAGTAATCTTCTAAGGATGGTATATGCAGCTATTAAAACTAGACAGCTTAACTATCACTGTTAGTTACAGTGATGGATATGTGGATCTCAGATGCCTAGAGATCTTAAGGTTTGGTTGAAAATGAAAAGTGATAAACTGGGTAGTTTTCTCTCAGAATTATGTTATATGGTCTGGTAACCTAAACTCCAAATTACTTGCTTGGGTATTTGGAGGGAAATGCCTGTATCCTAAAAAGTCTCTTTCTGGTGCTTCAGTGGCTACCTCTGCTTATATTGTTGAATTGAGATATGAACGCTGAAAATGTAGCTAATATCTGTGTAATGCTTTTTTGTACATGTGCTCTGTTATTGATTTGACTGAAAAGTCTATTAATGTTTATTAGAAAGAATTGGGCGCCTGTTAGCAAGTCTAGAAGTCCAGCGTTCACAGGCCCTGTTTCTGAAATGTGAAAATTACATACTTGTATTCAAAAGCTAAAGTGTGGACTTTTAAAAATATAAATTAATTTAAGCATAGCTATAACAATATTGAAAAATGAAAATAACAAATAATCAGTCCATCTGTTGTTTGGGGCCTGGCACATTTCCATTTTGTGGGTGATGATTACTTTCTTTGGTAACCCCAGGTTAAACCTGTATCTCTGAGATTAAAATGGTCAGTCACAAAATCTTAACCTGTCTTCCCCCTACATATGCGCTAAAATATCTTCCTTCTGTTTGTTTTTTTTTTTTTATTTTAGAATCCAAAATGATTGAAAAGCATGGAGGATACAAATTCAATGCTCCGGTTGTGCCAACTTCATTTAATTTTGGAGGCCCTGCCCCAGGAATGAATTGAATTATCACTTTTCCTGCTACTGTGTGATTGTAGTGAAGAGCTTGTGTTCCTCCCAATAGTGGTTCCAGAACTGGTTCATGTTATCTACAACTCACTCTAAACTAATTGATAAATAGATTGGACAAAAGCCCCAGAAGTGGGACCTGATCATGCAACCTAATACTGGAAAGCAAACCAGAGATTTTTTTGAAGATAGGAAGAATCTGAATTTAAAGCTTCAAATGACACACTTTGGAAATCGGAAATCAAGAGGGGATGTCGTGAAGGCAGCTTTTCTTTTTCTGAGGAAAAAAAAAAAAAAGCATGGGCTGCAGGACTACTTAAAATGTCTCATTTACAGTACAAGCTAGAAGGCAGACTTAATTTTTACACCTGTGGCGGTATGAGTATTTGCCCAGTTTATTTCCCTTTCTCCCTTCCTATTGGGTGTCTATTCTTTTAATGTAAATAAGATAAGGTAATCAGATAGCCTTACTTAATCTTCATCATTTCCATTTATCAAGATTGTTCATATGTAGAATATTGGACACTTAATGTAGCACTACATAACTGATAAATCTGTAAATGAATTAGCACTTTCATATTGAAACAAGCCTGCTAGCCTATGTACAAAAATAGCAAAATGTTTGCTGTTTATAAAAAATTAAAATAAAAAATAAGGGATGTATTGGGGAAAATAATTTCAAGTTATTAATTTAAAATGAACTAGCAGTTTTGTACCTGGTGACTTTGTGGTGCAGTCACCTCTGGTTGTGACTTGAATTCGGTTATGTAAAAAGGGGTTAGTGATACTTCATTGCTGCTAAAAAAAAAAAATAGCAACACCCTCCGTGTCCTTTGTTTTTCTTAAAGATCTCACTGTACAAGGTGAAATTTGGATACAAATGTGTACTGTAAGCACTGAGGAAAAAGTTACCTACGCTAAAGCAGGTAAATAAGATGCGAAGTTCTGCTCTTAAAAGTAGATTTGAAGTGTGTGGATGAAACATCTATATATGCAATCTATTAAAACCACAACAATTTAATTTGGCTAATCTGGGCTATGATCTATGAATGCAATTGTTTCCCCTAGTCTTGCAAAATATTTTTTCCAGCACGTGGTAGTGCAGGTGTACTACTTTTGCATTTCATTCCCCCTCTTTTTGCACTCCCAGCATTAGTGCATGCTGTTGTCTGCCTGATCCAGACAGTGTATTTGAAGTTTTGCCAATCTTTCATTTTTGAAGCCACAATTTTCTTCCTTCGAAGTTGCTATAGTAACTAGTATTTTAGCTAGAGAGGCAAAATACAGTTCCCTCTGGGACCACTATCAAAACCACTGTATGAAGAAGCCAGCAGGGAGATGCTGCGAATGGGTTGGCTTAAATGCCCCCTTTTTATTTTCTAAAAGCAAAAATCCGTGGGTTTTTGATCTTGCCTTGAGATCATCGGTGTCAGGTCTTTTAAATCAAATGTTTGGGTTTTTTTTTTCTTTTGGCTGTTTTTATATAAAAATGTCACCTGCTGTTACAATTGATATTAAACAAGCTACCTTAATTTAATGTAAGCCTCCAAAATTTAAATACAGGTTAAAAATAAACTGAGTTTATATCTGTAAAAATGAAATGCACATATATATATTATGATACTCAAAATGCAGTCTTCAGAAAATTGGTTTGTGTGGTGTGTTTTTTTGCATCAGCAGAGTAGCAGGAATTTGTGGTTTGGGGTTTCCTTGACAAGCTGACCAGCACCATGCTCTGCCTTCCATTTGTTGCACACCCGCTAGCGCTTCTCTGGGCAGGTATAATGGGTTTTTCCAGTCACTTCTCTCCGGTCTGCCTTTCTTCTTCGGCAAATAGAGAGTGCTAATGTGAGAGACTGAGCCAGGACTATAATGCCACGTTGCCCTAGCCGAATACCAAAGGGATAACTTTAAAAGCAAAGTGTGGACTTAAAAGGACGGATATTGCACCTGATGTGAAAAAGCCTGAAAGATTAAGCCTCGAATCAGAGTATCCATTATAGCGGTGGTATGAGAACCACGGTAGAACTTTTGAATCTTTAGCTGACTGGCCAAGTACACATAGCAGAATGGTTTTTTGTAAATGTGTAACTCATGAGCTAACAGGTGTACTCCGGCCTCAAGATAATCTCAAGTCAAGGTTTTATTTTTGTAGAAAAAGGTGACAGACATAATTACAGCATGCCTTTTCCTGTGCATTCCTTGACTTTGAAAAACGCCCAGTTTGACATAATTTCTGAACATCTGCTTGGGTATCTGCTTATCTTATTATGCATCCCGAAAACCTTTTAGGACAGATGAGAGAGACACTTTTGCCTAATGGCAGAAGATAGAACAGAGCAGCAGTGAGAAGGCTCTAGATACAAAGCAGATGAAAAAATGAGGGGAAAATCACCAATTTAGTGCCACTGTCATTTCTGGAACAGTTTATATTCAAGTCACAAGTCAAGGGAAGAATTTTATCTCAGTGTGAGGAATACAGTCCTACTTCAAGGGTGCTTTTATGTGTCGCTAGGCTGGTTAGCAAGGAGCATCTTTTTTAAGAATGGATCTTGAACTTTGCTTTCCTTTGCTCCAAGAAATGTATTTATATAAATTGCAAAACAATTTTGCATTGTTGTTGGTGGTGATAGTGCATTTTGTGATGCAATATATCAATTTCAGTGATACACTTATGTCAAAATTAAAATTAATCTTCCTTCTAGAACTTGCACTTATCCATTCCATTTTCAAGGATAATGCAACTCTAAAGGAAGAGCTGGGAAATTTAAAGCCTCTGTTTTTTCTATTATGGAAGATCTCCTTGGATTAATAAACATCTAAAGCAAACCCTTATCTTCACTTATTTCAGTGTGGTGTTTTGAATGTAGCTGTATTCTTGCAGTACTTTATAGTCCTGTTCTAGTTGCACAGCTCTAAGCTTCATATTTTCCTCTAAACTATTTCTTCAAGCAAATATTAGGCACAATCACAGTTTTCTTAACTGTGTTAAATATAAAAGACTTGTGTCATACACTTTATTAAAATGTTGACATATTGGGTAAATTTAATACCCTTTTTTCCTAAATCATTATAAGTAGTATTAATAGCTGTCAGCATAGTACAGCAAAGCTCTGTTCAAATCTATTGTAGCCTCGAATTACTAATGCAAGATTCAAGAAGTCTGGAGTGGATTAGTTATAGAATACCTGACAATAAACATGCAGATGGATTTAATTGTGCCTAGTAATCCATACCAAACATCCGTAAGTTTTATGGGTTAAGTTAGATTTTTTTTTTTTTCTCTAAAGGAAATTTTCTCTTATACTATCAGTTCTTGAAGTAAGAGTAGAAACATCATGAAGTTTCTCAGCATGTTTTATCTTTGCACGTTTCTGTCAAGTTCCCTTTCAGTCCTTCCTTATATGTACTTTCCCTTGCTAACCATTTTCACTTCCTGGGCCTGAATTTGTCCCCGTGTAACTCCCTTGATGCTGCTGCTCAGGAACTGTAAGCGCTTTGTACTTGAGCAGTTCATACTGGAGGCAGTCATACCCCTGGTGATGCTCTCTGTGTGTTCAACACCAAGATACGGAGCTGCATCCTTCTCTGGAGTTTCAGCAATGGGACTGATGCTTGCTGATGGCTCTGAGCTGTGCAGCCAAGGGGACGGCTCCTCAGTGGGTGCTGCAGGCTCCCAGGGGAAGGACGTGGTTCCAAAGTCAGTATTAGTGGTAGACACGGTGTTCTCTAGCCATGCGTTTTGATTTAACAGACATGGCCAAGTTCAGGTAACGCTGGTCCAAACTGTATGTTGGTTAAGGCTCTACCATGACTTGGGCTACTAATTAAGTTTTTATCTTTGGTATGTGTTCAGCAGAGGATGAACAATGCTTCTGAAAAATCTATGCAGAAGTGGGCATTTGGTTTATTTTTAAAAATGTAATTGGGAAGAGCACTACAGTTCTGCATTTCTGCTCAATCCACTGTTCAAGTTTTAACCTGAATGCAGTAGTTAAAAAAAAAAAATAATCAAAATTTGAGAAAAGTTTGGAAAGTCCAAGTCTCTCTGTATACTACTGTTATGGACTATAAAAGCGAGTTGAGTTCCATGAGCTGGGTTTTTCTCTTCCCTGTCCTGTGTGGGACCTTCCACATACCCAGAACCAGGAATGTGGAAAAGCTCCATTTGTCTGGTGGTGTGGCACCAATTGTCTGTTACTTTGCCATCAATACACAGCTTCTTTAACTTAAATGGTATGTCATTGGTTTGTTTATTTCTGCTTTTTGTAACCAGACATTCTCTGATGCTAGTGCTAGAAACAGAAAGCACTTCCAAATGGAAAATACCACATTGTAGGATCTGACAGATGTTAACAAGTAAGCTGTTAATATAAAGGAGTTGATAAACCCTAAATATAGTATCTTAGGTATTTCACTGTTACTATATGTCAAATCAAACTGATGCCTGGAATTTATATCTTGGGTGAGAGTTTCCAATTACAAAACAGGAAGGAAAACTTGAAACTAACAAAGGAGAATTGCTCTGCATCAGGCCTCTTTGGGAATAAGCTATTTTTGGCTGGTTTGCACCACTGCAGGAATTTAGAATCATTATTCTGGAGTTTCAGGCAAAAAATCTTACATGCTTTTACATCTGTCCTGTTCAGAAAGGTCGTCCTACAGAGCTGGGCATATTGTCCCGTCAATGGTGATAGCTCGATTAATTGCACAGTTGGGTTTTCTTGAAAAATCATCTACTGATTTAAGTGTAATATCTTTTGATTGCCTGTGGAGCTATTGTTGGACTATTACACGTTTCCATACCTAAAAATGACGTAAGAATAAATATTCTTAAGCGTAGCTATAAGAACAAACTCCTTATCCGCAAGAGCTAGGCTGAAATGGCCGCAGACGATAACGCGCCCGGAGGCTGGGGAAAGACAGGGTAGGGCGCTCGCTGCCCCCATCAGGCCCTCCGCAAGGGCACCGCTCCCCGGCACACTTCCAGTGACCTCCCTCCGGCTCCCGCACCCCCAAGGGACGGAGCCCCACGCACCGCCGGCCCGCGCGCCCGCCCGTCTCCGCGGGGACAGCGGCGCCCCGGGCCCAGCAGACCGCGCCGGGG